CCAGATTCGGCGTGATGCAGTCTCATGAAGAAGATTAGGAAGGGGATCCATGGATGTGAGTTGGTCATGTCGATGGGAGGATGATGAAGGACCCACAGGAAGGGTGTGGGCCGGGAGGAGGAGGATCGCTGATGTGCGTTGGTCACGTCGAAAAGAAAGAGAAGACGAATCCACCAGAGAGGGATGGATTATCAGGAAGGAGTGAATGTTTATGCATAAAGAGTGACGTTTTACGTGCGAAGAGTCCCGCTTGATTTCAAGCGCGAGATTTCAGGAGCCCGAACTATACTGACCTAATTGAGACTGGGTCGTAGGAGATGGATCCGGATGAAATCCAGGCGCAGATCCAACTGGATCCGGGATCTCGCCCAGAATCAGGTGTACGCTGAAAGGGTGGAGCCAGCCCAGATCCAGGTGTACGCTGAAAGGGTGGAGCCAGCCCAGATTCAGGTGTACGCTGAAAGGGTGGATCTAGCCCAGATCCAGGTGTACACTGAAAGGGTGGACTAGATTTCTCAACCGACGAAGGAATGTTGTAAGCATATTCAAGTAAGAAAGTGTGGATTATAATAGCTTATGCAAAAGGCTAGCTCGACCCAGTATCCAGTCGCTAGTTACTGCTACGAAAGGAATCCACGAAGACGGAAACTGGGGCGTGGTGTCGAAGAGTGATGAGGATCAGGTAGTCTTGGGCTGAACATTGAAGAACTTGCCCACTGGACGCTGGATCTGGCGTCCTGGGTGTTGGCTCAGGTCCCCGCGAAACTGGATGCGCCAAGGCTCGGCTTCGTCGATCTCTCGCAAGGCTTCCAATAGGCTCGTGGGTTCTGGGCGATGGAGGTTGGGATCCTCCAAGTTGGCTTGACGGGATACGGATCCCGGAAACCAAGCTACCTTATCCCCGCGTCGGGGTAGATGCAAGAAGGATGGATCCAGCAAAATATCCACGTCACACCAACCGTCCTGGATTGCTAACACGAGGATCACAAGGACTCTCTTCCAAGCTCGGCCCGCATGGCTACGCCGGTTACCACGCTGCTTGTTGAAGTTGGACAACCAAGTCGAACCCTGCAATTGATTCCGAGAGATGGGGAACCGGTGAGTGCCCTCCCATATAGCAACCCGGTGCTTGGAGGCGAAATCCCGGAACGCCCGAACGAATACCCCAAGTCGCCCACGCACATCACCCCTGAAGCTAACCGGATCCACCGGTGTGGTGACCAGCGTATCCCACGGGGCAGCACTTGTCAGTTCTTCCACGAGAGGTCTGGTGATGAGCGAATCCACGTACCCGGCCCTCGGGATGGCGTCTGCTGTCCGAGGGAATATCCATTCAGCTCGAAAAGGCAGCTCAGGGAACAGGACTGTGATCTTCATGGAGATGACCGCGACTCGGTTCAATTTCTTGGCTGACCAAGGCTCGATGTCTCTGGTAGCGAAGGCCACGGGAGCACGTCTACCAGGAATGAAAGCGGCATCCGGACCAAACGGAGCCACGGGGAGCATCCCTGGCAGTGACGAGTTAGGGGGAGCGGGGATCAAGACGGATCCAGGGGATCCGCCACCGTGAGATGATCCCGGGGATCCGCCACCATGAGGCGATCCGGGGGAACCGCCACCGTGGGGTGACCCCCCTCCACCAGATCCGGGAGATCTGCCACCAGGCGACCCCCCTCCACCAGATCCGAGGAGTCCGTCACCACGAGGCGACCCTCTCCCACCATCACTTCCCGATCCGCCGTCACTGTCGACTTGGATCGCGGATCCCGCAGTGTCGCCTCCGGATCCGGCTGTGCCAGCGACTTGTGGAGGCGGCGTCGAGAGGGATCTCCGCCGGGCTTCGGACCGGGATTGGGACAGAGTCCGTCGCGTGTCTTCCTCCAAGGCATCCTCAGCGGCTTGAGCCTCCTCCGAATCCTCTGGACTCCCGTCGTCATCGTCGTCGTCCTCATCGTCCTCATCGCTCAGAGTGAAGGGATACGGGCCGGAAGACGACGTATGCTTTGACGACGATCGGTTAGGAGGCCCTGAGCCGTCAGACCAGTCTGACTCCTCATCCTCGTCGTCCTCCGAGCTGCCAAGTCCCCATCCCGGGGGAATAACACGTTTAGCTTTCCCCTTCCCGGGTCCAGCTGGCGGATGGCCGATGGAGGCTGGCCCGGGGAACGGCCGGCGTCGTCACCGAAGGACCGGCGGTGGATCCCGTCTTGGACGTAGATCCCGTTTTGGCCGTCGATCCGGACTTGGACACCGCTGATCCTGTTTTGGGTGGGGCAACGGATCCAGTCTTGGACGCCGTAGACCCAGTCTTGGGTCCGGATCCAGATTTTGACGTAGCAGCAGTGGATCCAGCCTTGGATCCCACTCCCGCCTTGGACGTAGCGGCAGATCCAGTCTTGGACGCCGAGGTAGACTTGGATCTAGCGGTGGATCCAGACTTGGATCCGGCACCCAACTTCGAGGGGGAAGCGGAAGTCTTGGACGCGGGTGTAGATCCCGCCTTGGACACCGAAGTGGATCCCGCTTGCGGAGCCGATTTAGAGACCGGAGTCGTTTTGGGCTTGGTTTTCGGGGAAGCTCGGGCCTGCTTATGGGGACGGGAGGATCCGGTGCTAGGAGCGGGAGATGCACTACGCGGGCGTTTCGCAGCCGACGAATCCGCCCCACTTACAGTCGGAAGAGGAGCAGAGACGCTAGCAGCCTGAGAGGGCCCCGACAAGGGGGGAAGTGGATCCGAAACGGCAGCTGTCACCAGCGCCAGTCGTCGACGTGCCAAATCCCGCTCCGACAAGCCACGATCGCGCTCCAGGATCAACTGTTGCTGCTGAGTTTGGGCTGCGGAGAGTTGATCCTGGAGTTTCGCGGTGGTCGCATCTGCTTCCTTCAATTTGTCACTTAGATTGACAATAACAAGTGAATATGGAGTCACTAGCAAAGGCTAAAAGAGGATTCAC